TTTAGGCAGCTGGACGAGGACCATTATTGATTAACAGCTTTTCCCCCCTCTGCTTGGCATCCATTTGCTTCCCTCTGCTACTGCTTTCTCATCAGAGGCAATTTAAACTATTTGCTAGTGTTTCTGGATCGTGTCTCTACCCTTCTCTTTTTTTCCACAGTACTCTGATTTTCTACCAGATCTCAAATTTCTAAGTAAGGACTTTTATTTAGTAAAGTAAGATCATTTCTCTTCGGTAGAGAATTGATGAATTTCAGGTTAGACTCTTATGTCTCAACAAAATATCTGTCTGGCCCTGGCCGGTTTGGCACAGCGGTTAGAGTGTTGGCCTGCAGGCCAGAGAGGCCCGGGTTCGGTTCCCACTAAGGGCACATACCTCGGTTGCAGTTTGCCCCTGGCCCCGGTTGGGTCATGCAGGAGGCAGCCACTTGATGTGTCCCTTTCATGTCGATGTTTCTCTCTCTCCCTCCCACTCTGTCTGAACAAAAAATGGAAAAATGTCCTTGGGTGAGGATAAATAAGTAAATGAATAAATATCTGTCTGTATTTTTTTTCTTTATTGATTTTTTTAAGAGAGAAGGAGAGAAAGTTAGAAACACTGATGAGAGAGAACATCGATTGGCCACCTCTGCATGCCCCCCACCAGCGACTGGGCCCACTACCTGGGCATGTGCCCTGATTGGGAATTGAACCAGTGACCTCTTGGTGCATGGGTTGATGCTGAACTAGTGAGCCACACCAGGCGGGCTCTAGTCCTTTAATTTATTCTCCCTCACCTTTCTCCCAAAGGCCATAAAGTGGAAATTGTCTTTACTTCTTTTCTTCTACACCTACAGAATTTATTCATATTGGCCTTTTCTTTCTTGCTATACTGTTAATCTCTCTGTGACCTTGTTGCATCACTATTTCTCTTTTATCTGTATCATCAGTCTTTGTCTTTATTTATTTTTCCCAATTCTCTGTCCCCACCCAACCCCCAGTTACTGCTCAGTTTCTCGTGTTCATAAGAAGTACTCTTGCCCTGCTCTCTCTATTCTCTCACAGCCTATTTATTCCTCAAGCATGTAATTTGATTTTGTTCCCACCACTCCACTGAAATTAATGTGCTCAATGACCTAATTGTCAAAGCCAGATGACACTTTTCAGTTCTTAGTTTATTTTGTTTCTCTGCCTCTTTGAAGTGTTATATTGTCCAATCTTGGTTTTTTTCTTTTTCTTTCTTTTTTTTTTTATCCTCACCTGAGGACATTTTTCTATTTTTTGTTCAGGTAGAGTGGGAGGGAGAGAGAGGAACAGAGAGAGAGAGAGAAACATCGATATGAAAGGAACACATCGAGTGGCTGCCACCCACCCGACCGACCAGGGCCGGGGACAAACTGCAACCGAGGTACATGCCCTTAGCGGGAACCGAACCCGGGTCTCTCCGGACCGCAGGCCGACGCTCTAACCGCTGAGCCAAACCGGCCAGGGCTTTTTCTTACCTCTTACTTCTTCTTGGTCTTCTCTATAGTCTCACCAGTCTCCTTCCATCCAGTCATAAATGTAGTTACATTTTTAAAATAAAAAAAATTGCTCTGGCCAGTTTGGCTCGGTGGTTGGAGTGTTGACTAGTGGACCAAAGAGGCGCGGGTTCGATTCTGGTCAAGGGCATGTACCTTGGATGCAATTTGGTCCCCGGCTCTGTTCGGGGCCATGCAGGAAGCAGCCAATCGATGTGTCTCTCTCATATCGATTTTTCTCTCTCCCTCTCTTTCTTCCTCCCTCCCACTCTATCTGAAGATAAATGGAAAAATATCCTCGGGTGAGGATTTAACAATAAATAAATTTTTAATTGATTTTAAAGAGAGTAAGGGAGAGAGAGGGAAGGAAAGGAAGAGAGAGGGAAGGAAAGACAGAGAGAGAAGAGAGAGAAAGAGAGAAAGAGAAACATGGATGTGAGAAACACCGATCAGTTCCCTCCCGCACACTCTCCCAGACCAGGGATCAAACCTGAAACCTGGGTATGTGCCTTGACCAGTAATCTAAGCAGCATCCTTTCAGTTGGGCAATGTTTCAACCAACTGAGCCACACCAGCCAGTTTTGGTTACATACTTTTGTCGAAGTGTTAAAATATTTAATGTTCTTGTATCACATCATCATTTTAGGTGGGTTCTTGTTCTCTAAATACCTACTTTAGGCATGGCTGGTTTGGCTCACTGGTTAGAGTGTTGGTCCTTGGGTTTGATTCCGGTCAAGTGCACATATCTGGGTTACAGGTTCGATCCCTGGCCTGGTCAGGGTCATGTGAAAGGCAACCAATCAATGTATCTCTCACATCGATGTTTCTCTCTGTTTCTGTCTCTGTCTCTCTCCCTCCCACCCACTCTCTATTTTAAAAAACAATTTTTTTTCTTGATTGATTTTAGAGAGAGAGGAAGGAAGAGGGAGAGAGATAGAAACATCAATGAGAGAGAACATCGATTGGCCACCTGCTGCATTCCCCACAGGAGATCGGGCCCACAACTAGGGCATGTGCCCTGACCAGGCATTGAACTGGTAACCTCTTGGTGCATGGGTCGATGCTCAGCCACTGAGCCACACTGACTGGGAACAAAACCTACTTTAGGTAGGGTTGTGAGCAATATACATACAATGCTGAGTGAATGAGACTGTTTTAATTTAAGAGTTAGGTTCCTGGTCTTGGAAAAGCAGACTGGCTTGACATTGACCTTACCGATAGAATAGATACATCAGTTTTCTCAGCTGTCAAATGAGGATAACAGGACCAGTTTAGCTCAGTGAGTGGTTGTGAGGCATGACTACTAATGAAAATAATTGTAAAACACTTTAGCAAGTGTGATATAAATGCTAAGTAATAGTTCTTTATTGGGATGTTGTGAAAATTAGCAACAGACTGTCTGTTAGAGGTCTTAAGTTCCTTTTGAGAAAGGTGATATATTTTTATAAGTATAGTTCAGGAGTTGGGAAGAGATATTGCTACCCTAATTTCTAGAATGTAACAATTATGGAACCATAATAAAACAGCTTTTAAAAAATGTATTTTTTATTGATTTTTATTTTTTATTTAAAAAAAATGTTTTTTTCTTTATTGATTTTAGAGAGAGGAAGTGAGAGAGAGAGATAGAAACATCAGTTGGCTGCCTTCTGCATGCTCCCTACTGGGGATCTGGCCTACAACCCCGGGCATATGTCCTGACTGGGAATTGAACCCGTGACCTCTTTGCATTGGTCGATGCTCAACCACTGAGCCACATTGGCCGGACTTTTATTGATTTTTAGAGAGAGAGGAAAGAAGAGGGAGAAAGAGATAGAAACATCGATCAACTACCTCCTGCTTGCCCCCTAACTGGGGATCGAGCCCGAAACGCAGGCATGTGCCCTGATCGGGAATTGAACTGGTGACATCTTGGTCCATGGGTCAGTGCCCAACCACTAAGCCACACCAGCTTGATGAAACAAATTTTTTTTTATCTGCACCAGAGGACATTTTTCCATTTTTGGTTCAGATAGAGTGGGAGGAAGGGAGAGAGAGAGAGAAACATCAACGTGAAAGGGACACATCAAGTGGCTGCCACCCACACGACCCAACCAGAGCTCAGGACAACCCAACCAGAGCCCAGGACAAACTGCAATCGTGGTACATGCCCTTAGCGGGAACTGAACCTGGGTCTCTCTGAACCGCAGGTCAGCGCCTTAACCACTGAGCCAAACTGGCTAGGGCTGAAACAATTTTTTTTATTAAAGAGACTACTTCCATCCCTGGCTGGTGTTGCTCGGTGGATAGAGCGTCTGCTGGAGCACCAGAGGGTTGCAGTTTTCGATTCCTGGTCAAGGGCAGGTACCTGGGTTGCAGGTTCAATCCCCTGTCCTGGTTGGGGCACATGTGGGAGGCAACCAAATAATGTATCTCTCACATTGATGTTTTTCTCTGTTTCTCTCTCTCTCTCCCCCGCTCCACTCCCTTCCACTCTCTCTAAAATTCAAAGGAAAAAATGTCCTCAGGTGAGGATTAACAACAAAAATTATTTTTAAAAAACAATAAAGAGAATACTTCCAGAAGATTTTTTTAATAATATCACTTTGGAGGATTAGAATCACTAGAGTTTTTATCATCTTGGCCTTTTGATTCATTATGCCAGTTATAATGCTTGAATGTTGAAAGGACTGGTGGTGGTGATTTATTGTCTATATTTAAAGCATTCCAGTCAATCAATAGAACCACTTACAAGCAAGCATTGAAAAAGACTTATTTTATGTGACACCATGTAGACACCTAGGTGATGGTTGCTGTTAAGCTTTGACGATGGATATGGTGCCATTTCAGACAAAGCTAGCACTTCTTGTTCCATACCTGAGTCTAAATATAGAATGGGTGATATCGTGTACTTAGAAAATGCTTGAAATTTGAATCTGATGAACTAAAATTTTCTCAGCTTCTAAAGTAGCATTAACAATAGAGGAAAATTGGGATGTGGTTCTTTTGATGTCTAAAACCGATAAGGAAAAACTGAAATGGTTAAGCAATAGTCTGCTGACATGCTCAGAACTTGAACTCTGCTGACAGCTCAGTTAGGATCTTGGGTATTGTTTTTTCAATAGGGACTTGTGTATTGCTAATTTTAGAACAAACAGTGACTTGAAGTCCTTAGCTTTACATAGGTTGGAACTGAATCTTTATTCTAGAATTTAAGTTCTTTCACAGTCCATTATCTCTTTGTATCAAGGACAAGTAAAAGACTTAGGTTTCTTTTCCTCTTTGATGGGGAAGACTGTACTTGCTTTTGCAGCACCCAGGCATTATTTGCTTTTCTTTTGCATTTGATGTATGATAAAGGGATCCCTGAATGGCCTGCTTCCACAGTAAAGAGTAAGATTATTTTCTTGGAGGTGCTTTATTTCTGTGGTTGTATATTTACACTTTATGTTATTTGCTTCTATCATTTGCCATGTTCATTGTAGACCCAGGGATCAGCTTCAGCTCTTTTATATTCATAGGTGAAGGTACATCATATGTATATATATAATTTTTTTCATCCTTGTGCAGGGGCCATGCTAATCTTGTCTATATCATTCCAATTTTAGTATATGTGCTGTGGAACCAAGCACTCATCTTATTTTAATTTTAGTTACTTTGTATTTGATTTGTAGTTTTCTTGTATCCATCCTACTTAATAATTTTCTTCCCAGAATAGATGTCTTACAGAATTTATATCCTAAATATTTTTGGGAATATATTTCTTATGCTGGGCACCCTCATCTTTCCCCCTCAACTTTATTGAGTGTAATTGACAAAATGATAAGATATATAAAGTATACAACATGATGCTTTTAGTCACCCTTATCTATTTTTGTTTTGTTCATTAATTAGTAGCCAGGATTTCTCTGGAAGCTTGCTGTTAGCAGTACTATCAAGTCAAAAATACTTCTAGGGCTGTATGAAGAAAGCACTTTCCACCACTTCCTAACAACATGGAATTTATGTAATATTTGACCTTATGTATTTCTTCTGTGAGTACTAGTTAATGGTCTTTGAAAATTTACCTCTTTGGTTATATGTCCCTTTTTTTTATTGACTTATAAAAGTTATTTGTATTTTGTGACCATCAATTCTTTTTTGTAAATGTTGCAAATATTCTTTAAGGCTATGAATAAGAAGTGAGAAAGCAGGTAATTACATCAAATGTTTATCCAAGATGGTATTTGTTTAAAATGTTTGCCTTAGTTATTTGAGCAATGGTAAACTTCTTTTGTGTCTCTTCTTCCAAAGATGCATAGAAAAGCTCCTTCTGTCTGAAGTAAAGTGTTGGCTCTGTATTAGTTATAATTTGCTTTTTCTGGCTGGCAAAGCCTTCTTTTTGTTTTCTGTCTTCTGACAGATTATAGGATTGTGGGGAAACAGCGTCCAGGGCTTTTTCAGGATCCATGCCATTTTATCTACAGGAGAAGCCATTGGCTTTGGCACTAGAAGAGAATTGGCTCTGCATTTAAAGATGCCAAATCATCCTTGATTCACAAGTTTGCTGTCTCATTTTGTATGTGTGTGAAACTTTTTTTAGGATGTTGGCTTTTAGTTTTTCTACCATGTGTACCCCATCAGTATGAGAAATTAACAACTTGTCCCTTCTCGCCATCTCCCCACCCCTAACACCCACAATCCAAACATCCCAAACCATAGCAAATGACTCAAGTCATTTGAGGATTAGGGAAAAATACACCACATAAATGTTTCCATTGCCCTTGTGGTGACTTTGAGCTTTAATTCTGGTTTATCAGTTAAAGTCTTAGTCTTTCCTATGTAGACTTAAATTATTTAGATGTGGAAATGATTTGCCAACCAGCATGTCTCTGTACAGAGGCTTTTCAAAGGCAAGAATGGAAGCTAATTGTCAGAGTAGTCTCTTTCCCAACTTGGGAATTTAATTTGTATAAGGCAGAGCATATTTAGGAAAGTTCTGTTTATTCATTTACCCTTGACATACTTTTCAAGTGGGTGTAGCATAATTAATTCCAATTTCAAGTGAGAATTTTTATTATCATATAAGCAGTTTTAACTCCAATTGTATCTGTTACCTTCATGGGTTTTATACTGTGCACAGTCGATTTTGAAACCTAGCCAACTACATATTTTAGCAAATCTTCCATACCCATTAAGTCCTTATGCTTTTATTTTCTATAGGTAATAGTTTAAAGGTACCTTCTAAGTATAGGTTATTTTCATTTAAATTAAGTCAGGAAAGATTGTTAATAGAATAAGCCAGTTTGGATAAGCTGGTTTGTCTAAGGTGAATTATTATATGGACACATTTTTTTTCTCCCTCTGCCAGAAATGCTTCTTCTTCTGTCCTGCCCCACAATCTTGCAAAAGTTAGGATTTGGTTCTCGTGTATTCTTTGTTGTATTTTTTTTTTTTAAAAAAAATTTAAACAACAATGAGATATCACCTCACACCTGTCAGAATGGCCGCCATCAACAAAGCATCAAACAACAAGTGTTGGTGCGGTTGTGGAGAAAAGGGGACTCTAGTACACTGCTGGTGGGAATGCAGACTGGTGCAGCCACTATGGAAAACACTATGATGTTACCTCAAAAAATTAAAAATTGAACTTCCATTTGACCCAGTGATCCCACTTCTAGGAATATACCCAAGGAAGCCTGAAACACCAATCAGAAAGAATATATGTACCCCCATGTTTGTAGCAGCACTATTTACAATAGCTGAGATCTGGAAACAGCCCACTGTCCATCAATAGACGAATGGATAAAAAAGCTGTGGTACATATACACAATGGAGTACTACGCAGCTGTAAGAAAGAAAGATCGCCCTGGCCGGTTTGGCTCAGCGGTTAGAGCGTCGGCCTGCGGTCTAGAGAGACCCGGGTTCGGTTCCCACTAAGGGCGCGTACCTCGGTTGCAGTTTGTCCCCGGCCCTGGTCGGTTGTGCGGGTGGCAGCCACTCGATGTGTCCCTTTCACATCGATGTTTCTCTCTCTTTCTCTCTCTTCCTCTCTCTCCCTCCCACTCTATCTGTACAAAAAATGGAAAAATGTCCTCGGGTGAGGATTAAAAAAAAAGAAAGAAAGAAAGATCTCTTATCCTTTGAGACTACATGGAGGGACCTGGAAAATATCCTAAGTGAAACAAGCCAAACAGAGAAAGACAAGTATCATATGATCTCACTTATTTGTGGAATATAATGAACATAACAGTCTGAGGAATGGGGTAGTCCCAGAGACGTGGAAGTGGGGTACAGACTGACAATCCCCAGAAGAGGGGGTGGTTGGGGAGAGATAAACCACAGAATTTATATGCATGTATCCATGAACATTGGACATGGACAACAAACTGGGGACAGGGCAAGGAGGGAGGGGGAGTGGGAATCTGTGGGAGAAAAAGGAGAAACATCTGTAACAAAAATTAATTTAAAAAAATCAAAGGAAAAAAAGTCAAAAAAATAAAACAAAATTTAAAAAATTTTAAATTCTCACTTGATATTTTTCCATTTATTTTCAGACAGAGTGGGAGGGAGGGAGAGAGAGACAGAGAGAAACATTGATGTGAGAGAGACACATCAATTGGTTGCCTCCCGCTGGACCCTGATCAGGGTTGGGGGACCAAAGCGCAACCGAGGTACGTGCCCTGCACTGGAATCGAACCCATGATTCTTTGGTCCCTGGGCCGATGCTCTAACCGCTGAGCCAAACTTGCCAGCGCTGCTTTTTTTTTTAACTGATGTGTCTCCTCTCACTAGACTAAGTGCCTTAAAGACAGGGACTGTAGTGTATTCTTTTTTCTTTTTTTTTATCCTCACCCGAGGACATTTTTCCATTTTTTGTTCAGGTAGAGTAGGAGGGAGAGAGAGGAACAGAGAGAGAGAGAGAGAAACATCGATGCGAAAGGAACACATCGAGTGGCTGCCACCCGCACGACTGACCAGGGCCGGGGACAAACTGCAACCGAAGTACGCGCCCTTAGCGGGAACCGAACCCGGGTCTCTCTAGACCGCAGGCCGACGCTCTAACCGCTGAGCCAAACCGGCCAGGGCCTTTTTTCTTTTTTTGTCTCTGGGATCTAGTAGAGTTTCTGATGTGTAGGAATGCAATAAATACATGGTGACGTGAGTGAATGAATAAGTAAATTGAACTCTCAAAGATACTGTGTGGATTTTATACTTCTAGTGTCTGAAATAGAAAGTGCAGTCAGTTAAAAAAACTTAAAGGATACTTACTACATTGAAATAAATAATAGTTCAAAGCATTGCATTTAAAAAAAAAAACTTTAACATTTGTTTTTTCAGAGCTGCTATTATCTGTAAGTCTAGTGAGTAATGTGGTTTCTTTTTTTAAATTATTTTCTTTATTGATTTTAGAGAGAGAGGAAGGGAGAGGGAGAGAGAGAGAAACATCGACAAGCGAGAACATAGATTGACTGCCTCCTGCATGCCCCCCACTGGGGATCTGGCCCACAACCCAGGCATGTGCCCTGACTGGGAATTGAACCAGCGACCTCTTGGTGCATGGGTTGACGTTCAGCCATTGAACCACACTGGCTGGACAATCAGTTATCTATTATATGTGCCCTAATCAGGGATTAAACCCAAACCCTATGTGCCTTGACTGGGAATGGAACCCTTGACTCTTTGGTGCACAGGATGATGTTCCAACCAACTTGGCCATACCAGCCAGGGATGATAGTTTAAAACTTTTTATTGAACCTGTCTGGTGTGGTTCAGTGAATTGAGCATCGTTTCATGGACTGAGTGGTCCTGGTTTGATTCCCCATCAGGGCACATGCCTGGGTTTTGGGGTTGATCCCCAGTAGGGGGTGGGCAGGTGGCAGCTGATTGATGTATCTTTCTCACATAGATATTTTTATCTCTCTCTCCCTTCCTCTCTTTCTAAAAAAATAAAAATAAAAACATATTTTAAAAAAGAAAACTTTTTATTGAGATAAAATATACATATAGAAAAGTGTACATGGCCCTGGCCGGTTTGGCTCAGCGGTCAGAGCGTCGGCCTGTGGTCCAGAGAGACCGGGTTCGGTTCCCACTAAGGGCACGTACCTCTGTTGCAGTTTGTCCCCGGCTCTGGTTGGTTGTGCGGGTGGTAGCCACTCGATGTGTCTCTTTCACGTCGATGTTTTTCTCTTTCTCTGTCTTCCTCCCACTCTATCTGAACAAAAAATGTCCTCAGGTGAGGATTAAAAAAAAAAAGAAAAGGAAAGTGTACATAAATGGATAGCTCAGTGAATTTTCACAAATTGAATATACGGATGCATCTAGTTCCCAGATCAAGAAACATTACCAGCCCTCTTGAAGCCTTTCCTATCAATTTGTTCATGATACTGTTGAAGCACAGTAAGTACTTAGTAGTGGCTGAGTGAGAACTTGGTTACAGGTACTTGTTTTATCATGAAAATGAATTAAGAAAGTTACTAATGATTTCCGCTTTGGTGGCTGTTATGAGAACTTGGATCATTTAAGTGATTTTGACCATTCTTTTGCTATGAAGTTTACTGGTGCAAGTATTTATTGAGGACTGTACTATGTATGCTTTACTGTGCAAAACTGGGGAAGGAGAAGATATAAAGGCAAATATAATACTAGCTCT